AAAAAATTATGTATTTATAATAAAATTAAATTTATTTTTATTATTTTTAATATTTTGAACAGTTTTATGAGTAGACGGTATACTTGAATTAAACTTGTTAAGATTTACATATCCAACGCGGAAACCATTTAAACTAGGATTTCTCAACCGTTGTTTCGCGACCCATTGAAAGTATGTGATATTAGTCGATTTAAATATTATATTTTCATTTTTACGACATTAATTTTTGAGAATACCAATTGTGGCGCTTTCAAAACATATTGAGTATTTTACAGGTCCTTAAAAAATATTAGAATTTTTTTTCGGTCCGCAGTACTCTTTGTAGTTAAGAAACACAAATATTAATCACATAAATAATATAAACAATGTAAACTAAATCAATATCACAAGACAAATCGATCTAGTTATGCCAATCTGTATATAGTCCCATAGTCTGTTACTATGGAAGATGGTTTCGGATTTTGAACTAATTGTTTGACATATTGTTGTCAATGTTTGACTTTAGTGATATTTACTTTAATGAAGAAAAATTAAGAAAGACGAATACATATTTCCGATTGACAGTGAAAGCCATAATCGTATAATGAATAATTAACAACTATTTATGTCAATTTAATTAGGTTATACTGATTTATAGTTAATGTATGAAGTTAAATTTGTAAATTTAATTAATTTTTCTCTAAAAAAGAAGAATAACACTAATATTACTGTATTGCTCTCTAGCAGATATGAGCCATTAATGGCTAAAATGATTAACTTTATGATCGCAAAAATTAATGGACGGGAAATAAACTTTTATTTATAAATACAATTGCAATGATTTTACTGAAGGTACTAAAACTTCAGTAAAATAAAAATTAGTTTTTTTCTTAATTTAATTTTATTAAATGCACTTTTATTTTGTTAAAAGATCATTGTTAAAAAAAAGGAACTAATTAAAATAAAAATTATTACTAACATAATAGCCTTTGTAAAATAAATTTATGCTTGCATTATATTTTAAGCAATTTGTTAACGTTAGTAAATTTAAATGAAAAATTCTCTATTTATATTTAAAAAAAAAAAAATTGAACACATGGGTCTAATTAAAATGAAAGTTTTGTGTCCATGTAGAGTAACTACTAACAAAGTTTATACTGGCGTTTACCAAAATAAATGCTATCAAACACTTTGCATTGCAAGTCTAGTCTTTTCTTTCTAAAATATCAAGGTTAAACTACAAATAATAAAATTATTATTGTTTTCTCTTCCTATAAAAATTAATTTCGGCTTCATACTTTGCATAAAATAGAGGGTAACATCCATTTATTTCAATCAAAAAAAGGATATTGCTTACTCTCCCTTTTATATAAATATACACCAACCGCATAATTTGCAAAAATTGCTGAATCATATCCATTTATTTTAATTTATTAATTTTCTATAGTGTTGATTCTAGCTAAATAATCATTGCAAAACTGATAAGAATTTATAAACAAAAATAAATTTTACTATCTTTTCTCTTGAGAGTTCGTATCACGTTTTTTATGTTATTGCTTTAATTTTAGCTCTTATCAAAAAATATTTTCCTAATCTGCATTATAAATGTAGATATAATATTAAGTAACATTAGCTAATAATTTTTTTAATAATGAATTTTTTTTTTTAAATTATTATTGCAATTATTATATATTTCACATAACTGATAAGATAACTCTCTAAGTAATTTTAAATACATATATACCATTCAGATCTTTACATTATAGTTAACATTAACAATGTGATAATGCAAATCAAACCAAATCCACCAATAAACGTTCTTAGTGGGATTCATGCTAAATATATTTAAGTTTTTGGAAATTGTTTTAGCATATTTTTTCTTTAAACACAAACCAACTGACAGATATTAGTTTTTTACAAAAAACTTTTATGATTAGTACAGACTTATATGATAAAATTATTTCTAGTATTATTTCTAGTATTAACCAATATATACGCTCAAAAAGAGTTTTTTAAGAAAAAAAAATTGGTCATAAAAACTTGTGTTTGCTTAGATTTATCAAAAGCTGTCTCATACCAAGAACTATTCTCTATCAAATGTAGTCAGGATAAGCCCAAAACAGTTACTTGTCATTATTCAAGTCATTTATTTCTAACGTAACAATGTTTCTGAGCCTCGACATAGACTAGGATCAATCTATACTTCACTTCTATCCACTTTAAACTAATATTTTCTATATAAAATCCAATTTTCATTTCTGTATTTCATTCTTATTATTTCAGTTTGATGTGATATATATGTCTAGCTTCTGATTACTAAGCTATCCTCAAGCCTGACAATGTGATGAATATATTTAAAGGGTATTTTCTAATAAATTCCATGAAAACTTATATAGATCTATTTTCAATTTTGAATGAAATAGTTGTGAACGAAAATTCTACATGAAAACGATACCTCAGCAGTTATACACCAATTTTTAGTTCACTATCAATAAATCATATTGACTAATCACTACATTTAGTTTTGTATACCAAAAAAAAAAGGATTGATTGTATGATATATTTAAAAAGCATTTATTTAAATTATTAAAAATCGTTTCTTTAATAAAAATGTGTATAATAATAATTCGACAATAGCCATAATTTTTTTCTTTCAGAGTAGCAAAAAAAATACTCACAACTTACGAAAGAAAACGTGTGAAGCAACAACAATGCTCTTAAAATCTTCAGAGTTAGGTTTAACTCAGTGTTAGGTTTAAAATTTTTACGCCTTAAGTTTTAGTGCAGCCAACTTTAAAAATCAGTCTATTGTGAATGTTCACTGGAAATATGTTATAAAATTCCAGTAAAAATTACGACTAAAAATTCGTTAATATAATTTTCAAGTTTTTCACATCTTCCAAATATTTGTTTATAATATGATTGAAACAATCTAAACAGTTCAGATTTCAATTATATGCCAAATATTCAACATCCTGGAAAAACTCGGAAACAGATTTAGGCTATTTAGGCTATAGCATTGGCTTAGACTGTTCTTTAGTAAAAACGTTAGAATTGTTTTATTATTGAAATTGTAGCATGTCCAGATATATAATATATCATTGCATGGATAATTGTGTAGTATAAGTTTCACTCTTTACTAGTTACTAGCACATGATAATGCTAATGCATCACAAATGAAGGTAGGGCTAGTTTCGTTGATTGAAATGTCTGGATTTAATTTAGTATCAACGGATCCTATAATGTATTACCTGGGAAAAAATATGCAAA